ATCTGTGACCGGCATCTTCAGAGGGCAGGAGCACAGACAGGAGCAGTTCTCTCTGTGCCCGAAACAGAGAAACAGTAGAGAAACAGTTTGGTTCATATTTTAAAGAAATGTACACTTAGGCCATGCACAGTAATATTCCAGTCCCAAATCATACAAAAGGGGTGTTTATCAGGAAAAGTGCACACAATGTTAGGCTTCTTAATGAAAAATAAGATATAAAGTGCACTTACCTGGAGAAAATTGCTTGCAAAAATGTGCATAGTTAGCAAAACTGTGTACCTACATGATCTGGTATGAGAAGTGGGCACAATTCTAAGGATTTTGTTTTGAAAATTACAAACTGATACAAAAATGGAAGGTAATGAATTCAAGGCTGGAAAAATACGAAACTGAGCAAAACTGAAGTTGACTGATTTATCAGTCCCTGATTTAAAAGAGGATGCTACTTGGGTTGTGCCCAGAAACCCTTGCCAATCTACAATTAATCACATAGAAGTCTACAATTAGAAACCCCTGGAATTGGTCACTGTTGTTTTCTGTATGCAGAATGAGAACAGAAGAAGAGAGATGAGATTTACTTTCCCAAGATTTTACTTCTATCCAAGTCTCGAGCAGAGGTAGAAATTTCTCAGATTTAAGGAGTAATCTATGGGAATTGTCACACTAGCTTTGTCTCTTTTCACGAGAGGGAAACTATAGTGAAATGCAGCTTTTGGAGAGAAAAGACTTCCCCATTGCAAGATGAAATTAATCAAGAATTATGCCATCTGCATATAAACACATATCATAATGACACTGTGACATTGTCTTCTCTTCACGGTATCTCAGTTGCTAATATTAGCTCCCTGTTACTTATCTAAAAGTCACATCTTTTGTTGATCCAGAGTGACTCCTCAGTATTGAACCACTGAGCACCAAATCCATTGCAGCTTCTTGCCACATGCATGCAGAAGGGTTCCAAGCATAGGATGTGGGTGACAAATCTATAGGTGATGATGATGGGTATTTGCCATATGCAAATTGTTTTTGAGCTGAGGACCGTATTGGCTTTATCTGCTAGAGACTTTGTTCCAAAAAATATGCAGGACCAGGACACAAGAATGGATGAGGCTGACACAAACTAAATTTGACTTCATTGCATTTCCCTTTAAATGTAAACATGATTACAGCAGATTATAGTACATACAGTTAATATTATTATATCCCAAGCACTGAATAATTTATCACTTCTTCACAGTAAACATTTACAATTCTGTAGTAACTTCTGAGGCCACAGCTAAGGCTTTCAGAGAAGCACATCTGGCCCTGCAGCTGAGACGCAAAAGGTTGTACAGGGCTGCTGTAGAAACAAATCCACAGATTTGATAATCTTCTGGATTCTTGTCTGCTTTTATGACAAAGGCATATTCCCAGGCCTCAGAGTTTACAAACTGTTACTTTCTCTTACCCAATTCTTGGCTTATTCTAGCTCTTTACCACCATTCCAGGTGTCAATTTTCAAAGCAAAGGAGTCACATTCTTTCACTATTTCACCTTCAGTCTCCAATAACTTTCTTTGTTCAGGTGTTGAAGACAGCATGGATAGAGCCCCTTCCTCCCATTCCCCCCCCCCCCCCAAAATAGTCCTGTGTGGTAGCTTGGGCTGAGAGAGTCACTTGCCTAAAGTTTACCAGTGAGCTTCCATGGTTTAGACTGGACTTGAGCCTAAACTTACCCGGTTCCAGTCCAACACTTTAACCACTATGTTGCCCCAGGAACTCTGGGGGGTTCTAGCCTGGCATGCAATTTTGCCCAATAAGCAAATTAGGGTGGAGATAATAAAGCATTTATTCTGCTCAGAGTAAGGTGCCCGGGAATAATTTCCAGAGCAAGCACACATATTTATCAATCAACACAACTTTTATACATTCTTGAAACAAAGAACTACATGATCATTGGCAGACAATAATTATTCACAACCTTGGGTGGACAAAACATTCCCGAAAGGTGGGCACTACTGCCCACAGGTGGGTGTTTGTTGTTTCTAAGGAACATTTGAGCTAGGTGGTTTCTTATCTTTATGCTTGTTAGTGCAGGTGAACGCAGTTGGTTCCTCCTGTGGGGAGGTATCACTGTACAAGCACTTCTCAGCACTAACTGATAACAAATGCTGTATTCAAAGAGAAAAGAATTTGGGTGGGTTTGCAACTTAATTATCTGCTCTGTTCCCATCAGCTAGTGAAGGTCTGTGAAGGTCAGTTCTGAGCCATACATATTTATGCCACCTTCTTTAAATTAACCCTAAAATCACCATTCCATCAACTACACCACACTATTATCATCATGGGCATGGTCAAGGCCTATTTGAAATCAGAATAAATCAAATAATGGTGTAGGCTGAATGAAAATAATTTGAATTTCTGAGTCCAACATGATTGATTCTTCTCTAGCCTCCTGTCTACTCACACTAATATACAACCACATATCAGCACACATAGTCTACGTTTGCTGTTTCAAACCCTATAGTTTAAATATATGTAATACATTTTATATATGCATGTTTCCATCCATCCATCCATCCATCCATCCATCCATCCATCCATCCATCCATCTCTCTCTCTCTCTCTCTCTCTCTCCTGTATGCAAAGTCACAGAAAGCTCAAGATTTATTTGAAGTTCCAAACAAGTCAACCTGGATCTGTCACAGAGAGAAGGCTAACTAAACCTCCAGTCCTTATATAACTTTGGTAGGTTTTAATAGAATGGCAGTTTGTAGGAGTTAGGGAAATATAAGAACCTACCTTCCACATCCAAGTCAACTTTGTAGTTTATCAGATGGTTGTGCATGGTTCCAAGTGTGTACTCCCCAACCCTGTTTCCATACTTAGTACCCCCTTTCATGAAAAATGAGGAGCTGATATATCCTGTAGCATGGACCTTGACTTCTATAGCACCATTTTGATAGAAAACAAAATCCCAGACATAGTCATAGTTAATGAGGGTAGAAACAGTCCTTAAGACCAAAGCATATTTGGGTAACCCCTCATAGTAAAAGGAACCTAAATTAGAAAAATGGCGACGCAGAGGCACACCCATGTCATGCTCAAAGATGCAGAAGGAGTTCTTGTTCAGTTTGGGAGTGTCAGAGTCTATTAGGTAATGCCGGTCCACATAGGTGGCCATGTAGGGGCAGTCCACACCCCGGACTAGTTCGTAAGAAAACTTTCCAATGCCAAGGCTACCATCCATGTATCTGGTCACCATTCCTCCAGGACAGTTCGAACCATAAGTGGCAAGAGCTTCCTGCAGACTCAGCTCATAGACAATCCTCTTAGAGTTAAATCTGATGTTGAAGAGACGTGGCCCCGTGTTCACATTCATCCCAAATGTAAACTTCCATAGCTGATAGGCCACATGGGTGCCAGTTACAGTGTAGCGCTTTCCTTGGGTCTCAAACTGAAATGGGCCTGGAGAAGCTGCAGGTTCAAAACGCTTCCTGGAAGCATAATCCATCTGCAGCTGAGTACTCTTCACTCTTGCTTCTTTTACCTGCCCATTCTTGAACTCTTTTTCCAGTTGAGCCATGTCCTGGTAATAGCGACCATTGTAGAATACTTTCTTCAGCTTCCATTCAGAGATGTCCAGACTGCTGTGATCCACCAGCATCTCCAAGCCAATAGGATGGATGTAGTACCCACTGCCAATCACATTCTGGAAGAGGACAAACCAGGTGGCTCTTTCACCAGACACAAATCCTCGAGGAGCTGTGGTTAGCGTAGCTAAATCAGTCCTCTCATAATTGCAACATTCTTTGAGGAAGTTGGAGGTGTTGAAGAGCTTATCGAAAATGAACAAGTCAATGTCTTTGTATTCCCTCTCAGTCACTGGTCTGCTGTGATATGGAACCTTCTTGCCAAATTTCCTCATTGTAATGTCTCGATGGTACATTGGATTTGGAAGTGGACCTACTATAAATTCTGTGATGTTTGGATCTGACTGGCTTCCAAAGTATACCACAGCCAATGCCTGCCGGGATGGCTGTTCCCTTCCACGATCGAGGAAGCCCAGAACTTTGGCTTTAGGCGGGAAGTGCACATCCATATAGTAAATGCAATTATCTGATGGTTTTGCATGAAATGCATCTTCCAGGTACACCCCGAGATTCTTCTTGAGGTACTTCACCACCTGAGTCATCTCTTCTGCTGTCAGATCAGCAAAGATCTCATTTTGTTCTCTGTTCTGCTTCTCAGAAGAAATCGGTAGTTCAGAATAGACACAACTGGTGACTTTTTTTTCCTTCTTTGTCAGCAAGACACAGACTAGAGCAAAAATTGTAGCCAGAGCTAGCACCAAAACGATAACTAGCGCTTTCATGTTCATGTCAACACAACAAAAGCAGCAATGATAGTACACAGCTTGTCTGTGCTTTCCTTACAGGAAAGTGTCTGGGTTGGTGGATCGGAGGAAGCAAAAATGTTGCTCCGCTCAGAGTAAGAGGAGGGACCTGAGTTAAGACTGCCTGGGGGCTTTACAAGGGACCATAAAAAGGCAGATTTACATTTGGTTTCTTTTCCTCCCTCCGCCCCTTCCCTCCGCCCCTTTCTCCTGTTCTGCTTTACCATCAGCCTCTTATAAGCTGTTCTGGATCAAGGATGATGGACCAAGGGTGTCTGGGGAAAATACTGGGCTTGGTCCCAGAAAGGTCAAATGCAAAGCTCCGTTAGAGCACAGAGACTTCCCAAGAGCACTGGGGATGTCCCACTAACTGGGAAGGTTGGCAGAGCCAACTCACACATAAATATCCAGTCAGGCTATTCTAAACAAATTGTGTTAATGTTCCCATTATTTCCTTGCTCATTCCCAGGAATACAGACCTAACTGTGCTCTCATTTCCTAGCCACTAATGATCCATTTGTTCTCTACTTGTAATTTGACTGTGCTGGTGTCTTAGATCTTTTGATTGTGTGATTTGAAAGGTTGATTGAACAACAACACACTGTGAAATTGGGGTATAAAATAAGGTATCCTTTTACAGAGCTAAGACATCTAGCCAAGGAATGAGGAATGCTTTGACTTATGGTCCATCTCCTAAAATTCATGTGCCTATAAGAAAGCATATTACTATTATCTAATAGGAAACACAAGGAATTTTGAATATTCCTCATAGCTACAGTTATGTTTAGAAGAACAAGAAATGGATGTTGCCTATGTAAGGTTCTCGGCTACCCAAAATCTTGAAATCAATCAGCAGCACAAAATGAAAGACTTCAAGCAGGGACTCCTCTAAGCAGCGTTTTATTTGGCCAAGCAAAAGTCTGGGTGCCCACACCATGCACCAAGAGAGAGCAGGGTGGCACACTTTGGAGACAAAAACACAGCCTTTTTATAGTATTTTTAAAAGGGCAAAACTAATTAACATTATAATGAAAATAAGTTTTACAGCCAGTCAAAGAAACTTAAACAGAATACATTATTTCCCGCCCTTTTGCTTACATTAACTCTATTCCCCGCCCTTGTTTGCTTACATTAAATTTAAAGGAGTTGCCCCTAACCCTTCTAACTTATCAGTCCCTTCAGACCCTTGTCCGGGGTCCTCCTTCCTTATCAGGCCTCAAACTTAGTTTCGGGAGGAGTCTTCCCTATTATCTGGGCTTTGTTCCTCTTACAATTTTGCTGATTGCTATTAGTATTGAAGCTTGAATATATACAAAAACTCTACTCCTACTCTAAAGCTATGCAATTAATATTGTCAATTTAGTTATTGATCCCTTCACCTATAAGGAATATTAAAACTGTAGCAAACCTCAGGCCTTTAACCAGGGTGGCCTAGGAGGACCCTATCCTAACACAAATTTGTCTTTAAAAACCAGGTAGGTTTTCCCCTATTTGGGGGATGTGGGGAGGCCTGGCAAGCATTTTGGAGTGGCAATGCCTATCATCACAGACAGAAGCACTTGAAAGCTGATGTGTTTGGTGGTTATATTGGCTCAAGTCTAGCTACACTGCACAAGCTTCTGTCATCACAAAATGACTACTTGCCAAGCATCTAAGCCTGTTTTTCAGAGTGCTTTTTCTTGGGCTGGATCAGTGTGAAGGGTAGCAGCACTCAGATCCAAATCTACTTCTGAGTCCCTAATTTCTCAAATGTTAATTTGAAAAGTGCTAGAATTTGGATCCTGAAATCCAACAGATAATACACCCCAGAAGTGATGGCTTTGCAGATGGCAGGTCTAGTTCCAAGGGCTTATATTACACCAGAAAAAAGCAAAGCCTCACCTATCAATGATGCACACCCCTCTGCCTGAAAGGAAATCAAGATCCTGAGACTCCGTGTGGGTCTCCTGCCTTTCCTTTCTGAGTTCACCTGTTGAGCATTTCATTGTAGGAGAACCTGTCTGCTTCAAAAGGCTGCTCTGAGCGCCCTCTCCCCTCCGGCCACTAACTGCTCCCTTCACAGCTGTCTTACTGACTGGTGAAAAATCCGGACCTTTCTAAAAACTAACATGTGAAAGGCTGAGCTTTTTAAAAGAAATTCCCTGAAGGGAGAGCTTTCTTTACAAATCAAGTGCAACTGACAAGAGTTTTGCCAGTTTCCTCTGCTGTAAAATACATGGGCTCTATCTGCATTTAGTGACCTGGCAGCAGGCGATGGCCTGAGAAAAACAGCAAATCAAAGCAACAAAGCAATCTAAAGAATGCGACCTGGATCCTGAAGACCAGCAAGGGAGCTAGTTCGAGATCAGACTAGACAGAAACCAGCCACTGGATGAAACTTGCACATGAAATAGTAAAACCTACTAGTGCACCAACAACCAATGAAAGCACAGCTGAGGTGAAAAGTACAACAAATGGCTATTTAAAAAAGGGTCTAGACAGGGACCTGGTTGAAAGTCATACAATGTCTGGGTCATGAGCCACCCCCCTCAGGTTTCTTGGTGAGTACGAGGGAGCAAAAGGGTGAATGTGCGTGTATTTAAGCAAAACCTTGCTATATTACAATAGAAAAAATCTAGGGGATTAACAGAAAATTCTTCGTGTGCTGTCACATCAATTAGTATGAACCATTGGCCTGATCACAATCTTGGGAGGGGGACGATATTTCACTGGAAGGTAAGTGTGTTCCTAGCATCAGCTCATTGACCAAGGCTGTGTCTCCGGCCATCTCAAAATGCTCATTCGCAGCCATTGCACCAGTGGGTGGTGCACAAAAGGCTGATAAGTGAGATACTGCATCTTATAGCCCAAGTGACAGGAATAATGGTAGAAATGTGATGTTTTCTTTCTTTTTAGTGGTCCACAGGTAGCTGATTAAATGGGAAGATATTGAGTACCAGGAGGTGTCAGCAGAAGAGGGCTCATACGAAAGGTCTATCAATGGAAAGCCATGTTCTTAAAGACCCACTCGTGGACAGGAAAGCAATTGGTGCTTGCTTTCCCAGCATAGATGGGAGGGATAAAACAGTGGAATCCATCAATTGCAGTGGTCTGGACAGATCACCAAGCTGTTACTTTGACCAAAGTGGAGGAAAAAGTTGAAATCTGGAAAATGATTTCTTAATCCAGCTTCATTTCCATCTGATTTATACACAGAAATCAGGCAGTTTAAGGCTGCAGTGTGGAAGAGCCCAGAGTGAGAGAGTGGCAGAAACTGGGCCACATTATACCAGAAACTGCCATTTTGGCTACTACGCCAAGGCCTTATTAGATGTGGCTTCACATCCACACAGAAAATAAATTGAACCACTTGCTGATTCATGCCAGTTTTACAAAAGCATCGTTAGACTGCTTCCATCACATTTTGATGGAAAATGTACAGCGATGCCGTAAATTTATTTACCACATTGCTCTACAAGTATGCAGAGGCTGGACAGCTATGACTTTCAGGTTTTAACAAAAATATGCAAAGAATAATAATTTAAAATTTATGAAGGACTTATGGTGGCTAACCCCCATCCCCTAATTGAAAGCCAGAAACATGGACTGTTTAGAAAAGCTCTCTTCTGGAAGGGTGCTCTGAGGTCCCATCTATCATAGTTGGCTGGAAATTAAGTTAATCTGTCTCCTAGGTTTGGACAACACTCAGTAATGGAGGTAAGTAACTCTAGGATTAACCCTAGGCATGTTCGCAGTTGGGGTATGATCCTAACCTGAAATTAGCTAGTCACCCGTTTTGCAAAAACAGTGTACTGTAAATACCCCAGTGGCTTGTTCTAGGACAGCAAATCACAGTCTGAAAATATGTTTTGCTGTGACTTTACTAACAAGTGATGATACATAGTTTATTTGTTGTTCCTGGCTTACGCCTGATTTTTATTGCCCCACTGAAGCCTCCAAACAATCCAAGGATACAAAACAAAAGCAACTAAACAGGCAGGAAAAAAGTTAGGAATTGGCAAAACAGCTAGTCTGAGCATCTGGAAGACTGACTGTAGTTTAACAAACCATGTCTTAGCATAATGTATGTTTATTAAAACAGACCATGACTTAACACAATGTATTAACAGAATCACTGTAATCTCTCTAGATGTAGTATGCTTCCCATCACTTGCGCTAACCAGAGAACATGCATGTGTCTGTAGACATCAGTCATGGCAACTTAATAATTATGAGTTCTGCCAAAGAATCCTGGGAAGCTTTGTTTCATGACAGTTTTGATTTTTTTTGTCAGATTCTTAGAGCAAATTGAGAACGTAAAATATAAATGTACTTGTAAATGCTGTTAAGAAAACTAGAAGCTTTTTCTTTTCTTTTCTTTTCTTTTCTTTTCTTTTCTTTTCTTTTTTCTCTTCTCTATTTCTTTCTTTGTACTTTTTTCACTTACTTATTACTTTTCTTTTCTTACCTTTCTCTTTCAAAATGTGTACCATTTTTATTATTTAAAAAATTTCTTTAATAAAAATTATAGATATAAAAAAGATTCCTAGAGCAAATTACAAAAATACAGACCACATCATTACTCTTGGAATGGGGATTAAGTATATTGTATAGATATATCTATTATAATAATCAAATAAAAAAATTAACAGGAGAGGCAGTTGGGTAATAAAGGTGGAATGATTTGTCTGATACAGAAAAAAAAAAATGCAAACACAGTTCCCAAGCGTATACAATGCAAGCAGAGCTAAGATTTAGGTTGGACACAGTCAACATCAAAGAACTCAAAACTAACTGCCATCTCACACATAGATTTCATGCTCAGCTATTTCCACTACTGTATTATCCCAAATACAAACAGCTGCACCCACTCAAAGTCTGCACAGTATTAGAGCTTCGTCAGATTTTCGAAACCTTGATAGGTGAACGGTGGAAGGTTGGGTACGCAGGCTGCTGCTTTAGGAAGGCAAGCAATATGGTTGATCTCACAGGAGTTGAAGTCATCCTCGCTGGTGAAGAACACACTATCAGGTGAGTCAATGGAGGGGTCATTGTCAAAATAATTATAAGGTCTTAAAATGAAGCCAACTGCATTTGCCA